TCTGCCTTTATTTTATGTACCCTGAGTTATGCCTACTTCCATTGGCAGTGTCCCAGTTATAACTGCTATTTCTATGGTGCTTCTAGAGTAGTCCTTTTCAGGTCCTGCCCAGTTGTTCTGGTTTTCCCATGTCCTCATTCAGGATCTGGACCAATTCTACTGACAAGAATCTTGTTTCTCCTTGGATATGCCCTGCTTCCCAGAGGGGTTAGGTATGCTTCTCCATCAACTGTATTACCAATAACAGTCCTATTTTCTGCCCCTTGTCCAACATCCTACCTTTACTATTTCTATATTTGATCTTCCATCTTTCATGTATTTAATTCAGGTGGAAAAGTTATGTGAGATTTTTCCAAATTTTAAAGACAGGAAGCTTGCACATTTATACACATTTATACATTTCACATTTATACCATTCATAGATACATGCTGTATGTGTTCCCTCATCAAGCTCTAGACACATGGACATGTGTATGTGTCTCCTCATTTCTACAGTATCTGTGAGCCTTGTGGCCTTTTCTGTGTTTATCTACCCAGTGCATCCCAGATGTAAAAACATGACATTATCTCAGTTTTACCCAATGTGGAGCCACGAGGATGCAGATTGGGTTACAGAGATTCTTTATGGAATAGGGAATTTCTGCCTCCTAATTCATGCTCTCTGTTGTTGCTTTAGTGCTTCCCCACTGGAATGAATAAACTCCTTAGCTCCTAGGGAAAAAAAAATAAAAAAAAAACAATAATAAGGGAGGAAACATTGAGCTTTTGGGAAAATGCAGAAAGCAGTTCAAGTCCTAAGTGAGTTTAGAATGGTCTTTTTTTTTTATTATTCTGCAGATGAAACCAAATCCCTTTTGTTCCTTTTGCATTTCTTCTATAGCGGGGTGGGGAGGGAGGGCAGAGAAGAGAGAGAGCAGAATTTGAGATAAGATTATAAATGAAAAGAGAGTGGTGCAAGGCATGATGCAAACAGGAGCCTGAATAAAATAATAACTTTCAGGAGACTTCACCTAGCTAGTTTTACTCCAGCCTGTTGAAAAACAAGCACCTAAAGGTTCAGCCCTCTCCTGAAACTCCACCCCAAATACCAGTGCAATGCTGCTGAGTATCTTGCCTAAGAAACATATCTGAACATTTATAGTTTAATTCAGAACTGTATTCTTGTGCCTAGCCCTTGAAAACTGAATTTCTAGGAGATTTTAGTTTTCCATCTGTTGACAATAGTTACAGGTCTTTCCAGATGCTCTTGTATTTTGAAGTCCTACCTTGCCATATGAGGAGGAACTCGGAATTTACTTCTGCCTTTGTTGGAGCAGATGATTTTGGAAATTCATGGGAGTAGCTTGTACTTGTCCATACTACCTATCTGGGTAAGGATTTTGTGAATGGTGAGACTGGATGCTGGTCATTTGAACAGGTGGCTGCTTTTGCCAGTGTAGCTTATAAGATACCCACTGAATGAGACCATCAGCTCCTCTCTGTTAAAAATATCTTACTGACCTGATAACACTGAAAAGAGCACATGTAGGAGAATAAGAAAATACACTCTCCTGGTATAAATTGCAGCGAGAAGATTTAGGTTAAACATCAGGAGAAAAACCTCACTTTTTAATGGGAAGGATAGCTAAGCACTGGAATAGATTGCTTGTGGAGACCACGGACTCTCTGTCAGTGTAGGGCCAGGTTAGAGAAACATCTGCCACAAATGGCTGTTACAAGCCTTAGCTTCCCGTGGGAGGAGAGAAAAGCCTCTGTTAAGAATTAGTTTCAAGGAACTAATGCGATGCACCTTTCATTAAAGATGCGCATTAACATACTGCAGAACTCTTTTATTCTGGCTGCATTATACCGCGGTTGAGGCAATTTGCCAGCTGGCTGGAAGGCTTTCAGAAGGCTCCCACTTGTTTTCCCCTTGCATAGGCAATCTTACCTTTTGTCTGCATGGGATAACTTGTGTGCTTAGACAAACAAATAGCATGTGTGATTACCTTTCTGTTCTACAATAATTCTCCCTTTCTTTCTTTGCAAATGTGTTGGAATACTCCCTTCCTTGAACACCTCCAAATTCACCCCCAAGCCAAAGTGACTTTACTTCTTGACAAGATCAGATGGAGTATGGGACAGTTAAGGTGAAATTCTGTTGCTTAGGAGCTGTGTCCTGGCATAAAGTAACATTATACAGGGATTGGAGAATATGATTAGAAAGGAGATTTTATAGATTCCTAGTATTTTACTTTTACTGATTCTGTGACCTTTCAGGGCTCCTAGTGGGAGTTTGGATGACTGGACTGATTGGAGAACACCCAACGGGTCTTGAAACTGCAGGGTGACCAATATGAAGGATGCCTGGGATAGTTTATTTTCCCTCTTTTTGCTGAGGCAAGCACTCATCAGAACCCAAGTAATAACAGTTCATAAGCTGTTAATACAAAGTACCCTGAGACTTCTGAAATGCCTTGCTCTGCTCTGCACAGCTTGCTAGGCTATATTCTTTAAGCTTAGGCATCTTTACCTGGACAAATCTAGGGCATTTAATTCTGCTAACTTTTGTCCCTGCAGTGAATTGGTCCTTTCCTCTTATGGCAGATTATCTAGCCTACAAATTTGAGTATTCTTTATCTTGCATTGTCTCCATCCTCTGCACATGTGGTGTTTCTTATTGCCCACATGTTGCTTATGCCCATCCTTCTTTAACTATGTGCATATATATTTGACCTTTGCATGTATAAGCATGTAAAGAAGTCTGCCCTCTTTTAATTCACTATGATTTTCTGACTTTTCTTATTCATATCGGAACGTGTATGGAGTTATGTGGCATGTCTGATTGTTCAGGTTAGCAATAAAATGTAACATTTGCACATATTTTTGAGACAATCCATCACTGATTTGGAGATCAGAACATTTACTTAATTCCTGTTTTTCTTCCTCTTTGGACAATTTAGAATTATTTTATTGGGATAATAAGGAATAGATGTGTACTACTGTATTTGCAGGTGAGGTGATTTAGTGTACAGAAGGCTGTGGCAATGCTGTCATTATTATCCTAATTTCATAATGTTTCTGTGTAGTACAACACTGTGAGACGTGCCTGGCACACAGCCTTATGAACTCCCCTTTCTATCCCAGAGAACTTCTGGGTAATTATGGGTTGGGTTTGCCTATCTGATCTAATTTATCACTTAGGGGGTTATATCATGCCTGTTACTGAGATATCTAAGTGCTGCTGAGATTCTGCGAGATGTCTCTTTCATCAGCCACTTATTTCTATGATAAGTTAATGTTACTGAGCTGAAAACTGGGCTGTTCTGTGCAGCATCTTAATCACTGGTCCCTGCTGAGCCCCGTGTGGCAGTTACTACTTTTGGGGATTTGAGCTCAGTTACTTGAGAGCTAAAGTAGCTCTGCAGAAATCTCTGGCTCAGATGATGATGAATTGACCTGCTTGGTGAATGAGTGGGAAGCCCAGGGCTGAGCAGACCCTGGATAAGCATATGAGTCTGTGCTCTTCATTCCCTTAGAAATTCACTTTCCACATCGAGGTTTAGATATTATCATGAGTACAGAGCATCTCCATGGGTGGAGGGAACATTATGGGCAAGCTCTCCTTGGCAATCTTTGCCTTTGGGAAGGCAAGACCAGCTGCCCACCTTTTTACAACCCCCCACCTTGTGTTCACTTGGGTGCTGTGTTCACCCTGAACAAGGAGGGTGGATGTGGAAACTGCTGTCTCTGGGTGATTTCTTCTGCCTTTCTTCCCCTCCACAGCCCTCAGAGAGGATTTTTCTTTCATGGCCAGATGAAGTGTTTGTTTGTTTTGAAGGTGACAAGTGTTTTATGTGAATTCTGGATACTCTCAAATGCCAAACCCCAGCTGGGCTTTGAGTTTCACAGATTATCCACTGACACCTAATGAGCCTTTAGTAAATGTTTCTCCCTCCCATTCTGTCATTTCAATAAATAAATGACTGAAATTTGGGGGTTGTGGGAGGGGTGTTGGTTTGGAGTGGAGGGAAGCTTTTCTGTTTACCCACCAAGCAGGTACACCACTAAGAGCAGTCATGCAAGCTTCCCACACACCCACACTGCCTCTGCCATCAAGTCAGCATGTCTCAGTCCTGGCCTGGAGCACTTGCTTTGAGGATCATACAGGAAAGCTTCTTCTAAAGCCCAGTTAGCTTCTTCACCCTCTCAGCTTTGGTTGCCAGCCAAGGTGCTAATTACTGTCAACTGTGATGGTGGGAGGGGGAATTGAGAACAAAGGCGAGACTTTGATAGTTGAAAGTACAGTTGATGTTCAAGTTTTCTTTTTTCCCCCCGGATGTTTTTTTGGGGTTTTTTTTTTGCAAGAAATGGTCTGCCTGGGCAGTGGGTGAGCTTGCATGTATTGTCTCTTTAAGGACTGCAGTGGCTTCTAAACAGCTTTCATTCTTAGCAGTAGGTATCAGATAATTGAGTCTCACCTCCTTTTTTGACTACTGAAGATATGATCTCTATTCAGTTAGGAAATGGAAAATTAAGTGTTCTAAAATTGCAAGAGATTTATGGAAGTTATGAGAATTAGGGAAAAAATAGCAAGATTTAAAAATCATCATAGATACTCTTTGGTATTAATTTTCATGCATCAGAAACATAAAACAATTCATTGTTTCCAGCTAAGGTATGTAACCAAGTCATTGTGTTCCAGTTGTTTGGCTGAAAAGGTTGAAGGTTATAAGTCTGTTTGACCACAGTCACAGCATTCCCATGGTTATCCACTCACTCTCACAGGAGGTGAGACCATAACAGAGATGAGACAGCTCAGAGATATTTCTTGTTCTGCACTTCCCCCTTGTTTGAATCCGCTCACTCAGAGCCTTCTCCCCAGAAATGTCTCCATCTTACGTGAGTCGTGAGTTTGGGTACTCCAGGATGGTCTTCTTACCTCTTACTGCAGTGGCTGTGGTTGATGCAAAGGGATGGCACGATTACAAGTCTATCTTCTGTGGTTTGTGTCTCCTCAGGTGGGGAAATGGAAGGAAAAAAAGTTGCAGATGAAGTATTACGTGTGGCCACGCTTTGAGCTGTATCCCGACTCTGAGGAACGCGAGGACGATCACCTGAGTATCGTGACCTTGGAAGAGGCACCATTTGTCATTGTGGAGAACGTGGATCCCCTAAGTGGCACCTGCATGAGGAACACGGTCCCTTGCCAAAAACGCATCGTGACTGAGTATGCACCCCTATATTCTTCTGCTCCTCTGGGGCTCTTTGTTCTCAGCAGAATGCAAAGTGTCTGTTGGGCCAATACCATTATAATCTATAACCCTTTTTAGAAAATCACCTCCATTTGCCCAGCCTGTCCCATGTCCACTCATGATGGGCCCCTTTGGGCAAATCATTGCAGTGTGTCCCTTCACCCTCCAGCACAGATAGCACAGTATAAATTGTCCACATTATATAGTGGGAGGGGGAATGCAAACTGTCAACAGAGGGGAATTATAGTTGTTTCTCCCAGTCCTTTAACCCATTATTATTGTGATGGTTCAGGAACAAAACTGATGAGGAGCCAGATTACATGAAGAAATGTTGCAAGGGGTTCTGCATAGACATCCTCAAGAAAATCTCAAAGTCTGTCAAGTTCACCTATGACCTCTACTTGGTGACTAATGGCAAGCATGGAAAAAAGATCAATGGGACATGGAATGGAATGATTGGAGAGGTCAGCAGAAAAGGGAGGGCATGGTGGGCTTCAACCCTGGGCTGGGTGATACGGGTCAGGTCTAGCCTCCCATTATTATTGGGTCCCCTTCTGAGGCAGGGACAGAGGTGACTCTAGAAATGACTGGCCTGCATTCTTTCTTGGCACTGAGTGAATTAATTTGCTCTGACACTCCGACCATGACAACCTTTCTTGTCTGACCATTAATTATTATTCTCTATGGTCTCACAAATTTGGCGTACACAGTCTTAGAAAGAGGCTGTCATCCATTCACCATCGTTGCTGCAACCTAGATTATGCTTAGGTTGTATATAAGGTGAATAAAGAATGAAATAAGGCTTTGCAGTGTTTGAGGGAGGATAAAGCAAGGACAGAAAAATGAGATAAGACATCTTCTCCGTGGATGATGTGTTTATCCTAAGACCTCTGTGGATTTATTTTTTGTACACAGACCAGCTTTGAGGAGAAGATTAATGTCTATAGGTTTTCTGAAAGAAGAAGGTGTCCTGATGAAAGATTAGAAAGGAGAGATGTTACAAACAATATAGGGAATGGGATTACAGGAGTAAAAGGATTGTGTTGAAAGGCAGGAAGATGAGAAGGGGCTTGCCTGTGGTGCTTGAGGGCTGCCTAGTGTCTGTGTGTGATCTCTTTCTTTTCTTCCTCCAGGTTGTCACCAAACGGGCCTATATGGCTGTGGGATCCCTCACCATTAATGAGGAACGTTCAGAAGTGGTGGACTTCTCTGTGCCCTTCATTGAGACGGGAATCAGTGTCATGGTGTCACGTAGCAATGGAACTGTCTCACCTTCTGCCTTCTTAGGTATTGTTTCAATCTAAAATTAAAACTTCACCCGGTGGTCATAAAAAAAATTAGGTGAAGGTTGTTTGTGATTCTCAGTCTGAAAGCTCTTTTTTGGGAGTACCTGTGGGACAGGTATATAAAAATATACTGTAATGTTTTAGAACTGAGTCACAGGCAAGCAAAATCCAGGCAAATGCAAGTGCAAATAGGCACTGCCTATGGGTTCCAAGCCAAGACATTTTTCAGCAATTGTATGCCTAATCCTAGAAAAATTGGGCTCACTCAGAGTTGTCACATACACTGCAGCACTTGATTTCCCAGTGATTCAACTAATAGTATGTTCAAGGATTGTAGGCCAGAAGAAAATGGATTCAAATGTTATAGCTGGGATACCATAACACATGGTGATAGCAATTGGCAATAAATAGTTGCACATTGAGAGACATTATTTGTAAAGATGTTGTTAACTAAGCCCTCCCTTGACGCCTAGTAGAAGTTAGAGAACTAATAGACCTTTTCAAGAATGGTTGAGCCATCGGTTCTGTGCTGATGCTGTGTCTTACAATAAAGGCGTTTCTAATGTCCTTCAGCAATGGCAGGTGATCAGAGAATACGGAAATGATACTGCATTTCCCTGAGACATTCGTGCCTTCCTGGTGTCTACTATTTGGCTTTATAAAGTGCTTTATGATGCTGCAAATACACTATATGAGTTATGTAATTACTGTCTGCTCTCTGCCAGAGTCCTGAGAACATTCACAGACAGAAATACTTTTATATGGGTAATGAAATTTTCCCAGACCTTTTTAAATATGAGTTTCATGACTGCTAACTCCTCAGGAGTTTTTCCCCTTAGCAAGTCCACCAATATTGCTGGGGTATGTAAAAGCAATGTAAAAGTTATCTCTTAAGTTCTAAACTGCAATTTAACTGAAGTTGCAATATTGGCTATACTCTGGAGCAAAGTTCTTTGTTTCTTTTATCTGGTTCAGTCCTATCTTTTTCTGTTCAGACTGGGAGAAGGAGAAAACCTGGCAGAGATCAAATACTTGCAGAACACGAACACTAACATTTCTAGAATGAGCCAGTGTTCCCATTGCTAGAGGGATGGAATACTAAAAACCTACTGTCATTATGGCTGAACCTTAGAAATTTGGAGATGCTCTTTGGCTGGATAGCATCTTGAAAGTTGGATGCTTGTCTGAAACTCTGCCAGTTCTGCCTGATTTTTCCCACTCTCTCCAGATGGTGCTGGAGGACTTCCTGGGAACAATCTTTCATCAATGTGTTTTATTTTATCAATGCATGCCACAATGGCTGTGCGTGGTTCCAGATGGAGCCATGTGTCACAAATGTAACAGTACGAGGGAATGCAGTCAATACAGAGACAGAAACTTCAGTTTTTCCAATGCAAGAAGTTTTTAGAATCAGGTTGAAGACTTTGTTTTAACTTCTGCTTTTCCCCAACCCAGTTTGCCCTACACTGGACTTCTCTGGAGAGCAAAGGAGGTGAGGTGTTATAAGGTCTTTTACCATGGTTTTCTCTTCCTCTCCAGAACCTTTCAGTGCTGACGTATGGGTGATGATGTTTGTGATGCTGCTTATCATCTCTGCGGTGGCTGTCTTCGTCTTTGAGTACTTCAGCCCTGTGGGCTACAATCGGTGCCTTGCTGATGGCAGAGGTAAGGGGGGCTGTTTCTTGCTATGATCCCCTCTGGTTTCCACTCTCTGTTTGTTTGTTGGGGTGTTCCTTTGCCTTGAATGCGATAGGGATCTAGCCTGCTCTGAGCTCTGCATTCAGACTGAAGAGGACGGGGATGGAGGCGGAAAAAAGGCTGTGAAGAGAGCAGATGTGTATAATGGATCATTTGCTTGGCGTGAGAGACGGAGCTGTGTCGCCTTTCATGTCTGAAGCACATACCAGCTCCAACTTGTTTCTCATTGAAGGAAAATGGGCCCTGGTAGCCAGTGCTGGCAGGGCCTACGATACTGCACTCTGAGGCAATCACAGGGCTCAGCACTGTCAATCCATCCTTCAGTGCTGCATCTTCCTGCACAGCAAGTCACTCTGCTGGCCTCCCAGCACAGTGCTGTGTCCTCCAGAATCCACATCTGTCACCTGGTCAGGTCCTTCCCTGCCTTTCTGGCTTTCTAAGTCCAACTGAGAGAATGGGAGACTCATTTTCTTGGGAGTGGGTAAAAAAATTATTTTTCAAGGGCAGCAGGAAATTTTGGACCAAGCAAGTGATCCATTTTTGTGGTTCTGATCTTCAGAAGGCAGACAGATGAATTAAAGAAAGGCTGTGTGTACTTCCTAAGATACAGCTTTTTCCCCTTATTGACATGAAAACAATTAGCAAGTTGAGTCTTCTGTCATCTGAAGATCTTCACCCCCTGGTGAATCAACACTTCAAATCTTTCTGGATTTATTGGTTCATACAGAATAGTGGGAGAGAGACAGTTACTGGAAAATGCACTCATTTGCTCCCAAGTTTAGTGCTTTGAGTGAATCTATGCCATCAAATTAGAGAGGAGTGAAAATAAAAAGTGTTAATGAGAATGCAGGCAGAACCACATATATGGGGAAGTGGAGAACTTGTCTCTTAACATAGAGCTGTGGAGGGCCTTTATGGAACCTGATCATAATTGCATGGATCTGTGGGCACAAGTACTGAGAAACCTGAGTCTCTTAGGAGGTATTAATACAGATGTGGAACTGGAAGCAGGTTTTAGTACAGGCATGCAGTTATGCAGTTTTTAAGGTAGCCACACTGCAGCTGCAAGTCTCAATATTTCTGAGTAATTATGAAGAGTATTGCATGATCAGACAGATATTATCCCTGAGAGATAAAATATGAAGATACAGAAATCTGCTGCAGAGACTGCAATGCTGAATTTGGTAATGAGAACACTGCATTGGCTGCATTTGAACCATGACAGTACACCTTAAACAGCTGCATTTTCTCTTTACGGACATCAAGACTTGGATTGGAATCTCCCATTACAATCTTGGTTTGTGCCTGACAAAATAATTGTGGAAGCACATAAGGTGATCAGTGGAGAGAGGAAGGCTTTTAGAAGGGAACTTCTCAAGATTTCCTTCCACCATGTAGTTCCCACTGATGTTTTTCAGGCCCTTCACCTGTATATCTTCGGACACATTAGGTAGAGAGCGATATAAAAATACCACTCCAGCATGTAAAAAGAAAAAGACTGCCAAACTATGTTTCTCTTAGGAACTTCACCTCCCTGGAATTTAAAGGCACCTGTTTACCAGGTGATGACTGTGCTCTGAACTTGGTGTGCAGTTCCCTGGGTAGAAAATGAGCCCCTTGCATTCTTCAGTTGTGTTTAGGGTAACATGGTTAGTGTTTCCAGATGATCCATGCTATTTGCTGCTTGGAAGTTTGGAGGGGCATGTCAAAACTTTCTTTCTTTTTACTATTTTGCTGGAGTCAACCACAGGCAGCAGCACTAGGGCCCAATCAACCTGCCTGAGGAGATAAAGCGTGGGATGCTGATCAGGTTGGCACCATTGGAGAAAGGACAGATGCTTGAACTGTTCCATTCATCCAAAGAGGATCTTCCCAGTGTCCAAAGAGTGATCACATCAGCATTCTCCCTCTCAGCTCTTCTTGTGCTCAAGCTGAGGAAATTCTGGGTTAGATTCCCACTAATGGAACCAGCACGTGCTGGGGATACAGGATTGCTGGGAAACAGGTGCCATTTCACATGTTTTCAGATCTAGTGCTTCCTTAGCACACATGGCTTCTGGGGAATGACTGAGCTTCCACACTGAAAAGGGAGAAGAGGAAAATAGGAGCTTTTAAAACACTGGATCTGCTCCTGGACTATCTAGGGCAGACCTGCAGATTTTCTTAAGGTGGAAGAAGTATATGTCACTGCCATGTACCTTAGACACAAAATATGGGGAGAGGGAGCTGTGTTGTTCTCTGATTCATGGATCTTCAACAGCTGAGTAATGAAACATTCATGCAGAAGTACTTGTAGAGCCCTGTTATTTCAGATGGTGCTCTTCCTCATACCTTTACAAGTACAGTAAAGAGAGCCATGTTTTACACAGATGTATACTGGAAGTTTGAGGACATTACTCTTGAACAGATGGAAATGAGGATAGAATGTTTCTGAGCAAATTCTGTTTCTGGGGACAACTCTTCAACCAAAATTAAATGTTTGGTCTTTTAGATACTTCAATCAATTTTAAAAAATGCCCTTGTATAAGGTTTCAGTGGAAGTCCCTGAGATAGAAAAATATGAAAATCTGAGGACATTTTTAAAGAATAATTTTTCAGGTTGTATGTAGCTGAGATATGGTAGCATGAACTTCGGTGAGTGCAGCTGCAGATATTCACCTCACAAGTGGGAATAGATTCTGCTCTTAACTCTGAAATCAAGATGTGTATATGACTGGAAATGCAGACCACTTACTGTCAGATGCTCACTGTGGGATCATGTTTCTCAATCACTCTAGAGCCAGGAGGTCCCTCTTTCACCATTGGCAAAGCTATCTGGCTGCTGTGGGGGCTGGTGTTCAACAACTCTGTGCCAGTACAGAATCCCAAGGGTACCACTAGCAAGATCATGGTGTCGGTGTGGGCCTTCTTCGCTGTCATCTTTCTGGCCAGCTACACTGCCAACCTGGCTGCCTTCATGATCCAAGAGGAATACGTGGACCAGGTGTCTGGCTTGAGCGACAAAAAGGTAATGTATCCCCCCAAACCCTCAACGCAGTCTTTTCCACAGAATAGGCTGCTCTACCATCTCTTCCTTCCTTTCACAAGGAAAGTGGGCAGGTGTTTCCAGAGTCACACATCAGAGCTTTAGACCCTAGTTTAAATAGCACAACTGTTCTTCATTGGTATTCAGTTGCACTTTTACATGCCTTAAGCACTTCAGGAATGAATTATAGACTGAACTGAACTGTGCTTGCTTGCATGATCCCAAACCACACCTTGACTGTCAGCAAGAAACACATTAATGGAGCTTTGGAGACGATGTGTATAATGGCTGTAACCTGTTTTTTTCAGGATTAAATAATTTGGTTTGGGTAGGAATGCTGGCCATTAGGCTAGCAAATATGATCTATTAATTTATTCTGAAAACAAGTTCTGTCCATGGGGGTACATTACTGTGCCTTTGATGATTTACCATTGCTTGCATTTGCAGTTATACTGTTGTTTTTTCAAGGTGTTTGGAGGCTTACCACAAGAAATCGTTTTGTGTTCAGACTGCATTTCAATGCCTTGTTTATCTGCGCAGCATTTTGTCCATGCAGAGCATTCGCTTCTGCTGGACTCTGAAATTTGAGGATTTGAGATTGCTTATACATGCAGGGTAGCACTGTCTGGCTCATGAGGGTGCAGTGATTTGTGCACTCCTTTACTTTTGTTTTCTGGTGATGCTACTCACAAGGAATTGAGTATTGTGAGGCTCAATGGCCCATGCTGAGCTTGTTACTCAGTCACTGGGGCTGCTTAAGGGGTCATGCCACTGCAGGGCAGCCAAATAGCAACCGGTTGCACACAATGCTGCTGGGGATAGCAGCAAGAGGAGGACTGCAAGTGTCAGTTGTGGCTGCTGGGTTGGTTGTAGTTACTGACTCTTGTGTCCATCATGACAGTCTAGAAACAATTTGTGACCAGGCCTCCTGTGTGTATGGTGTCCTGTTCAGCAGGCTCGAAATCCTGTGATGGATTAACCATAGGAGCTTTTCTTACTCCTTTTGTTCTTTGGTTTTTGGTTGTTTTTTTTTTTTCCTGGAATGAAACATGGCGCAGAATAATACAATCCATGCAGAAGTGCTCCTGTTATTTGTTTTCATTTTGACCTCAATTTGTTTCACATTGTCTCCTCATTTGCCATGTGCTGTGTTGAGGATGGGGTGGAGGGGAGGATGCTTTTCTGTCAGGTGGAGGTTGTTGCAGACACTCCTTAGAAACTGTGAGCTCTAACCTTCAGATTGAAAGATACTGTTCAAAACCAGCCAGCCCTATCAGAGGTAACATTAGTTTGTCATCATTAGGTTTTCAACTATCTGAGCTAAATGGGATAGTTTGTACCTGTGATCTATTGTTTCAGGCTGTGCCTAGGCTCATGGAGAGAACATGCTTTCATTCTCACATTTTTCAAGATCTTCTTCATACCTGCAGAGATATGTGCATGAAATATCATTTGAAAGCAGTGACTGCTGGAACTTCACAGAGCCTTTGAATACAAATTTCTAGGCCAGTTTTAGTTGATTTCACTGTAGGGCCACCTGTGTGTATTGGATTGAGGCCATTTTCTTCTACTTCTCTGCCAATGTACCTGTATTTACTTTTGCTATGCTAAAGCATATGTGCTTTTTTCCTTGGGGATGAGAAAGGCAATAGTACATAGAGGATTGTGGTATGCCTCAAACATAGCTGCTAGTGCAAGTGCAATATTTGGGTAAGATTACAACCTACCAGAGCATCTGGAATCAAATGAAAATTGGCTGGTGAAACTGAAGGCCAACAGCTGCCTTTGGGCAATAAAGCAGGTGGGACTAACTCCATCCAAAATAAAGTGAGTGAATGAGCTTGATCTACTGGGCTTATGGATTTTACTCTCTGAATATGCAAAGGGCCCTGTAGGATTTGTGAGCAGTCATCCAGACATTTGTCACAGTGCTTCAAGATCCCCTGGTCTGGGAGGAATTCACTCTTCTGAATCTGATCTTTACCCTTTTCTGAAGCCTGCACATTGCTTGCAACTCACTGACCCTCTCAGTGCACTGCTTGGCCAGGATGAAGGGCACAGCCACATCCAGGGCACATGGAGGTGCACTGTGTTCTACCTCACTTCTCTTGTCTGCTTAAAGCCAGTCCAGACTTTCAAAAGAGGCAGTCACTGTTCAAAGCCAGGTGGGAAAGGCTGTTTTCCAAGGGGAAAGATTGATGCTTCCAATCTCTTTTATCCCAAATGTATGATCTGGTGTCCGCAGCAAAAGTCAGGCAGATTGGTCTCCTGGCCTTCTCCATCAGCTGGTAAGGACACCTGTGTCCAGCACAAGGACTCAGCAGATGATGTAATCCAAGCCAATCGGCAAAGTGACAGTAACAAAATTATATTGTTCCTACTTGCCTAGACCCAGATCTGCTTGCAAACGTCTCTGTAGTTCGACAGTACCTGGGGAAGGTGTCCCACTGACACTGCAGAGCAGCCAAAATGCCAGATGTACTCACAAAATCCATTCCTGTACCTGGCTGGCGTGCACTTGCCAAGGTCAGACTGGCTACACTCTGCAACAGCAATCCTGAGCATCTCCTTGGACCCTCTTCCTTAGGTTTTGCCTGGGAAGAACCACTGTAAGAGACGCCTACAGCTGCTGGCATGCCACTTCCCCAGAAAAGCTGACTGAAATGCTCTAGATGGCTCAGGATGGTGGATGTCTCTTGGATGATGTCTTGGTTGTGCCCCAGCATTTACTTCCTAATGGCATGCAATACAATGACTAAAGTCATGCCCCCACTGTGCTTCTGTGGATGCTTGAGCATGTCTGTCTGAGCTGGGCTGGAGTGGATGCCTCTGTCCCAGGGTACCAGGTTGAACTGAGGGTGTCTGGAGGCCCCTTGTATGAATGTAGAGACCTCTGCCACTCTCTCTCTGTCCCTGGTGATGCTGACCTTGCTGAATGCCACCCTTTGAGCATAGCTGGCTCAAAACAGGTGCCAGAGTTGAGGCAGGAGCCCACCTTATGATGGCTGTTAGTTCCCTCATGTTAACCTTGGGATCTGCTAAATCACACATCAAGCTTTAGCTCTTAACTCTGGGGCAGCCATGGGCAGTTTGAAGGGGGAGAAACCTGCTCCTGCCTAAGAGCAGCACTGGCCTCGTCAGCTCTGCAGGAAAAGTCCTGGTGTTGACAGCACCTCCTTTCCAGCTCCCTGTGCCTGTGGCATGCTGAACCACTTTCCTCCAGCGCAGGAGCCGAAGCAGCACCTTCCACCTCCACTGGTCCACCGTGTGCAGCAGAGGGGCTGGAGGTGTTCCTGGCAGGGGCAGTGCCACAGTGGCTGTGCCAGCTCCCAGCAAGCCCAGCTGGAGCATCTCTGCACGTGCTGCTGGGCTGCATCCATCCAGGGGGCTGCTGCTGCTGCCCTGAGCCCTGAGAAAGCCCCAGTGGTGAGAGAGCCTGCTGCAGAACGTGCAGTCAGCTCCTGGGTCTGGGTTTCATCTCAGTGCAATCAGAAGATGTAACCCAATTTCCATTAGCAGGAGAGCCTCAGACACATTAGAGAAACAAGCGCCTGCGGTATTTTGGTCTAACGAAGGCAATAAATACAGGAAAGATTATATAAAATGAACTAATGTGTGAAGTAATCTAATAGCTATACGTAATTTCCATTCATATAAAGTAGTAATAGAATAAAAGCAAATGTGGACAGCCAGCAGGGCATTTAAATAAAGTGATTTAGAAGGCAGTAGGTTAATAATAATAAAAAAAAAAGTATCCTTTCCTATAAATTAGTTGGAAATGCCAAAGAAGTTAATAAAGTATCAAAATGGTAATTTGTAATTGACATGAAAAGAAGAGAAATTGATTTCTGCATGCCTGCAAATTAATATAGATTGCTGAAATTTCACACGCATTTGACTTATTTGCTTTTCAAGATGTTAATGCAATGTTGAGACAAATGCAGCATGGGTCAGTTATTTTTTCAATAGATATGAGTTTATTTCTTTTCTTGAAAGGTAGGTTTTGAAGTTAAAACTGGGCAGTATTTTTATGAAAAAAAAAAACAAACTTGAGGAGAGTATAAGAAGGCAGAAGGAATTTCTGGTATTTTCCAAAATAGCTCATTTTAGTACACTTTATATAAAATACTTTGATATTTCTGACATGTATTTTGACATGTCATTTTCTAAAGGCACTACTCATAAAACTGACCTACATTTAAGGGGGAAGAAAGTGGAAAAAAGATTTTTTTTTCTGTAACAAAAGAAAGGGACAGACAGAGATAATTGGAAGATGAAACAATATAGGTAGATCTGGGGTGAATGGAACATTTCAGGTTGATACAAAACAAAAGCCACACTGAAAAACCTACAAAAAGACACTGAAAAACCTACAGAAAGAAAAGAATCTGTTCTTTTCTGGCAGTAATAGATGCTTGGCTGTGAAACTGAAAAATGAATTATTTCCCACATTGTACTTTGTGGCACATTAAATCGAAATTGTACAAGGATCCCAGATATGCAAGGATCCCAGACTTAAGCGTGTGCTTAACTTTGTGCTCATGAGTGGTGACATTAAAGTCAATGGGCTATTATTCACATGATTGAAGTTAAATGCTTCCCTGAGCTTGCAGCTTTTGTACAACAAATACCTGTTCTGGAGAAGTCCCGGGAAAATGCAGAGCAGACACCTTCTGCTAGACGTTTTTAAAGAGGACTAAAGTGAGGGTCAGTCTTGTGCCTTGTGAGGTCTACAAGGGGAAGATTGTCCAACTGGATAACTTGGAGGCAGTACAAATCTTCCACAGGATTAAATATTTAGTGTTAACTGACATTTGTGGTACTTCCTCACATTTCAGCAGGATACAAAGGAAGTTTTATGTGGCAGTGTCCGCAGGCAGAAAGTAGGTAATCTTTCAACAGCAGAATGATTTTTATTGTCAGGACACCTTTGTGGAGATATGAGTTAGGCAGACAGAAGAAGGACCATGCCACTTCCAATC